AAACGAATAGGAAGAATCGAGCTGATTTTTGGTGTAATCAGTTCCATTTGCGAGGAATAGATTGGCGGATTATATTTGTCTTTTGGGTTCCTTGTCAGGCTATTTTTGTCCGGATAATTAGGTTTTTCCTCGACACTTATGCACGGCTGCACATTAGAATAAAGAAAATAGTTCTTTTAGGGTTCAAGATTTGATCTTTACCCCTGAGCCAGCTGTTTCTTGAGCTGATTTGTCTTTTATTTATTTATTTATTTATTTATTGTACTGAGTCCTTGATTTTAAAAGGGTTACATTTTTATTCTTCAACGAAGAAGTGGGTTTTTTCTGGACCCTCTTATTTTCCCATATGGGGTAAATGGTGAAAAACAGCTGTGGTATATGGAGCACCACAGAAGGAGAAAAACATCAGAAACTATTAATTCAAATGGGTTTTGGTTTAACTGCTGGGTTGTGGAGCTTACTTACATTGCTACTTGAATGGCTGACTTGCAGAGGCCTAGTCTTGTGGAAAGGGACATTGACCAGGTAATCTGTATAATCATCTGTTTATTCAGTTAGTAATCTTTTCGAATAACTTCCTTACGGGACTTCCGTAAGGAAATGCTGTAGTGTTGAAGAAAAACTTAGAAAATTATGACATTGTGTTGATGTGAATTATGTTGTAATGAAATTTGTTCTTTAGGCCATCACAGCCCTTAAGAAAGGGGCACACTTGCTGAAGTACGGTAGGAGAGGGAAGCCGAAGTTTTGTCCATTTCGACTTTCCACGGTAGGCTTTTACTTTTTACTCTATAAATTTTAATTATGCTTTGGCTGTTAATAATGATGTATCACTGATTTTAATCTATTTCACATGGGAAATCTAGTCTACCATTGCATGACCTTCATTTTATGTTTGTTCTCGGTGTATGTTTTATGATTTCCTTGGCATTTTATTGTGCCAAGTAAATTTACTTTTGAATGAGCTAAGGCATTATATTTTAACTTCTTCTAATGGAAAAGAAATGAAATATTAATTTCTTGGTTTTTGAATAGTGCTTGATGATAAATTTCAGGACGAAACCACCTTGATATGGTATTATGGGAAAGATGAGAAACAGCTTGAGCTACGTCATGTTTCGAGGATAATTCCTGGGCAGAGGACTGTAAGTATGGACAATATGAATTTTCTCCATTCCTGGAGACATTTATGCAAGATTTTAATTCCCAATCCATTCTCTTTTGTGTTATTGCTAATTTTGTTTGTGGCATTATAGTAGTTCTACAATTTTGTTTTCACAGGGGAACTATGTGATAGACTGTAGTCATTTGTGGAGAATTCTTATTTCTTTAAATTGTTTGTCCAACCAAATCAAGAATAGCAAACTGTTTCCTGCTATATTTTACCATGAAAAATCACTGAAATGCAAACCTTTCTTTTTCAATTTCCAGCTTAACTTAATATTCTTTTCCAATGCAAAATGACTGTTAAATTCAAAGAAAGTGATATATCGTTTTCTCTTCCAACAGTCAGTATTTCAGCGGTACCCTCGGCCCCAGAAAGAATACCAATCATTTTCTCTGATTTACAATGACAGATCCTTGGATTTGGTGAGTTTCTCGTTACTCTCTCACTATGCCAATTAATCTTCTTTTGCATGTCAACCATGGACTAGTCAGTATTTCGACTCTGTTACTTAGTCATTCTTTGTCAAATCTGCTAATGTTTCTTTTGGCAGATATGCAAAGACAAGGACGAAGCCGAGGTCTGGTTCGCCGGTTTAAAAGCTCTAATCGGACGTGGCAGCTGCAGAAGGCAAAGAAACGAGTCGAGATGCGAAAATGCCCTGCCCGAAAGCCCACGTGTTCGGAAGATCACCCCATCAAATTCAAATCCAACCGTCAGTACCATTATCATTACTTCTTCTCATATCCCGTTT